AGGCACCACAAGCATGCAACATGTTGTAATAAAAAGACTTATTGGAAAAAATGTAAACGTAATTAAGTATAAACATTTACGACACACAAATGCATGTACAAGTAAAGGAAAAAGAATTAATATATAAGTAAAAAACAGTAAAATTAAAACAATGTGTTAAAATATATAGACTAATTTTTTGAAACTAATCTGGAAAAATAAATATGAAAGTCAATTAAAATATAAAACAGGAGATACAGTTCTCTAATTGGTGCCTTTAAGTGTATTTATTTAATAGTTCATTTATATAATTCTGCTTTTATTTTTAATTATGTCAGTTTTGGTCCTCCATACGGCAGAAGCCTGATAATCATTCATTTAAATCAGGTGTGTTGGAGCAGAGAAACAAGTAAAACACGCAGGGCTGCGGCCCTCCAGGACCAGGATTGCCCACCCCTGCTTTAAATGCTTTCTGCTGTTGGACTCCCAGAGGTCCAGGCTCAGGCTGATTGAAGGACTGGCAGAGCGGACATCTCTCCTGCCCTGTTTATCTTCTCTATCAGCGAAACCGTTTGGTCCTTCAGACTTCTGTTGTCAACACTGGTGAACTATTTATGCCTTTATCTGTCGTTCACTCCTCTCCGGCTAGCTGTAGCACCGTTAGCCCGTGTGTGTGTGCACTGTAGTTCTCTCTGTCGTACTCTGTTACATGTGGACGTCACAGGCCGGGAGGACGGCGCATGTCACACTCAAATACTTTGTCCGTCAGTATGCTGTTAATAATAGTCACACAACCGTAGTGGAATATGTTTGTGTGTAGATTTGTAGTTACACGTAGGGGAAATGCTGACATTCAGCACTCGTCGATGTTCAAACAAAGCTAAAAGTTTCCATCGGCCCTTTTGTGACTTCTTTTTTCGTTTTTTTCCTTTTTACTGTACAAATGTCCCGATTCCTATTTATACCTGATCACGTATTCATCCACACTGATTTGACTTTTATATTCATGTTTGTCCTCAAATCAAACTGCCATGCATGCATCTTCAGTCTGTATGAGGTGTTGGAACTATTTGTTGTTGAAATCATGTTTTATCTGAGCGACATGTTTGATTGAGGCACAAAAGGGAGCTTGGAGCTCATGCGTGTTTTTTTTTTTTTTTTTGTCGTGTGTGTGGGAGAATGTCTGCATGCCTTACAAGAAATTGCACATTTTTCAAGCTTTTTAGAAGACTGTAGTTTGTTTTTATTTCCACCGTGTAAATACTTTTACAGCTTTTGTGAAGTTGTTTTTGAGTTGGAGCTCTGTACAAATTGGTGTCAAAGTAAAGACATATCAAAACAACTTTTGTGCAGTTGAGACATTTTTTAACCTTCCTGTCRGCTCTGATTTTACATTTGCACTACAGTACTGAGAAATTCTGACGCATGCACCAAAAAAGTCCAAGTACGGAACAAAAGTTTTACTTGTGATGGGGATTTAAAACTTGGACATCGTGTCCTGAGTGAAGACGACTCACCAACTGCGGAGGAGACAAAGTTGCTGCTTTTTAATCAAACTGATGCAAGTTTAGCCCAAATTATTGCAATTTATTAATTACTAAAGGGACAATATTATGTGTTTATCAGGCATATATTTAAATACTATACCATAATAAAGTATGTCACATTTAGCTGTTAATAAAATGTTTTTATGTTTAAATAGAAAATAAACTTATCTTCTCATCATATCCTCTTCTAAATGCCTTGAAATAAGAACCACCTTCCACTTCTGTTCCGCCCATTTCAGCACGGGGGCGGCTGCCATGATGCAGTTTACTTGGCATCTGAAAATACATTTCCTCAAAGGTATTTTTAATCTGAAAAGAGCTTCACTGAGTGATAACTAATGTTGAGAGCCCAGCAGACAGTTAAGTTTCACTTTCACTTTCACCCGAGAGCCTGCAGGAGTCATGGGCGGGGTGTGTGGGGAGGGGGGAGGGAGGGCGCTCCGCCATGAGGAGGTTCGGCTTCAAGACAAGTCCCAGGGGCGTTTCTGGTCCCAAAAGGCATTTCTGGTCCCCACCTGTTGTTTTGCTCCTCAGCATGGCTTCCTAAAAATGCTGCATGATTTCTCAAACATGCATGAATGAGTCAAAGCAAGGCTTTGGGCATGTTTTTATGAGAGTATAACATTTTAACATGTTATAAAACTCAAAAAAGTTGATTTTCCATGATATTGCCCCTTTAATGAATTTTCAACTAATGTGAAACACTGTTTAAATAGTTAAAGAAAAGTGTACTACACCCTGAAAGCACCAGATCTCATCTGATCTTGGAAGCTAAGCAGGGTTGGGCCTGATTAGTACTTGGATGGAGAAAAATTAGCAAGAGAAAACCTTTGACCATATTAGGTCATAGGTTGCCTTCTAAAATTAGGTAAATTTTGTGCATGCAGTAATTAAAAGCCCAGATCACCTGCCACCTTTTATAACTCAGATTGTCCTTTGAGAAATCGAGTTGGGGCAGTTTTGGTTAATCTCGTGCCAAACTGTAAGACGCCACTCAGAATGTGCTTTAAATAATTACCAACACTAAATTTTAGTTCAATATCTTAAATTTTACTAGATTTACATGTGTTTTAGTAGCTGAGGCAGCCATCTTCAATTGTGCAGACTTTTACCAGACGCTCATCCAATGACTGCTTTCAGCAAGGTTTTATTTTAATTTGTCTGGTGGGTCATATTTAGGTAGTAGACATAGGTAGAAAGAACATCTATTAACAGCAGGCAATGGATGCTTTTAACTCCATTTGAAGCCACTCTAAATCAGATTTTATTTCAGAATGTGGAACTCAAAAGTTCCAAGTTGAATGAAATGTTCTGGAAGATTATAAACGGAGTTTAAGCTAAGATTAAGTCAGTGTGTTTAAATCAGTTTAATATAAAAGTTGAACTTTATTTTGCAAGTATCAAACAGGTTTTAAATTCCCAGCATATTTGAGTACAAAGATTTGTCTTTAAGCAGGCTGATTTTACAAACCCAGAATGTTTTTCCCAGTGGCTAATATTTCTTTTTTATGCAAATTTAATGACTTATTTAATTTTTTTTCAACTATTTAAACTACAAAACGAGACTAAACGCATTGGATTTCTTGTTTATGATTTTTTTTGCCTCTTAACCTTCCAGCAAATCACTAATCTATACTTTCTCTAAGCTCACAGATCACACATGAAAAAAAATTAACTCAAAGTGCAATTTACAAATCATTAACTTTATTTTTTACATAAATATATCTGTGTTGTATGCAGCAGAGTTCATGGTTGTGTTTTTATATTAACTTTTTTTTAAGAAACCATCACAAACCACCACAGCAGAGCTTCTTGCTGGATGGAGAACAAGTGGTAAATCTACAGGTGCTGCTTTGTTTTGTTGATAATCGAATGGCGACCACCTGAAACCCTGGCAGACGGCGCCGCTCACACGATGTATTTGAAGCTGTAGGTGGCGTCGCAGGACAGCCTCATGCCTTTACAGCGGCAGCACAGGTCCTGACGGTGGGGCCTCTTCATGTTGATGTGCCTCTGCTTCTTCTCGCAGACGCAGCAAGTCTGAGAGCAACCCTGCAAAACATGGAGGAACCAATCAGGAAGAAGCTCCCAGATATTTAATCATCAGCTGATGTTTCCCTAAAGATGAAGCTGATGTACCTTGCAGAGGATGGACTCCACTCTGTAGGGGTTAAAGCCCACCTGACACTTCCGGCAGAGCTGCTTGTAGTACACCTGACCATTCAAAAATAAGAATAATTTGTTAATATGAAAATAAACGTTACATWTAGTGTAGTGCACTTGCCTTGCTGGTTCCAGAGATGCACCAAACATAAGCACTCTCCCACCGGATGTTACATTTCTTACAGTGGAAAAAGCCATACCTCTGCTCCAGGAACTAAAATAAAACAAATAAATAAATTAAAACAGAAATAATAGTGTTCAATTTTATATTTAAAGAATCTGGCCAAGGTCCTTATGCTTCAGATATTTTTTATTCATTTTTATGCATTAAAAGCACTTAAAATTTATCATCTAAAAAGTCATTCATGAGAAAAGCTCGGGATGTTTTACCACCAACTTGAACTGTGGAGTTCAGATACGTTGATTATGTCACCTTCCTAAAATAATCAGTTTTCCTCTCCCCACAATTGACATTTTTGGCCTAAAATCATCTCATGATGCTGACCACTTGTGGCGAGTCAAAGCAGCCCCCTGGGTAGGTTTTTGAATGACAACATAATATAAAAGTAGGCACTTCAATAAATTCATCGTCCGACCCCGACRGTGCGTCGATCAGGTTTTTGTGATCTTCACTCTTAATGCTTGGACCCCTCATATTTCAAAAACATTTTATCCGTTTGTTTTCTGCTTTTGGTTTGAAAAATTGTTGCGAATTGTAACGCGCGCCATGTCTACAGGGCTCTGCGATTGCTTTTATGGCGTTATGGAAGTAATCCTGCACTTGCTTCCTAATTTTCAACATTTGACCTCTAAATCCTTAATGGGTGGTCCTATTTAAAATAAAATAAACAGTTTTGGAATCATAGCCATACAAGTAAAAAAAATTAAGAAAAAAATTACTCTAAAATAAGTTTGGAATTTTTTTTTTATCAAAGTCTACGTACACATAGCCATAATAAACTTATCTTATATCACATTCTTGAGTCATAATCCAAAGGTGTATTATGCAAATAAAATTTTTTTATTATTATTATTATTATTAGCACAATACATCTTAAAAAGGCAGTGTGTAGGATGTTGTCAAGTCTTTTAGCTGAAATTGAGATAATCACTAATAAAAAACATGTCTAATCATTGCAGACAAAGACCTTGTTTTATTATTTTTACCTTATAAAAAGCTGTTTATATCTCCATGGTCGCGGGTCGCCACTACAGGCAGCCGCCATCTTGTCTACGAAGGCTCATGAAGGACAAACTGCGGTGGCAGCGTCAAAAACTGTTTTAGTTGTAATACTATAAATGTAATATTTGTTGTCTGTCATTGTAGCTGGGATAATTTTACTTATTAAAGCTCATAATCTTACCACTTGAAACAGCCCTGAAGCTGCTGGTAGACATCGCGGTTGGAATTATCAAAGGTTTTTGACACCTGAGAGACACCGTAGCAACTCCATTGCGTTTGGAAGCAGAGGGGTGGGGGTGGGGGGAGGACCAGGGAGGATGATTCAACCACTAGATGTCACTGAAAACAACAAACCCTACACACTGYGTCTTTAAGATTATGACTAATCAAGAACGTGATTTAAGATGGTTTATTATGGCTATGTCCAAATAAAAATTAACTCTCTCCATATGCCATGTTAAATTTTTCGGTTTTGTTTCCTGGAAACAAAAACTTTTTTTAAAATAGGGAGTTGTCAATTAGCAACATCATTAACCATCTTCCGAGACAATATATGCGCTTGAAATTCAAAAAAYAAAAAACCTAAATGCAGATAATGCTCTTGTACTAGATAAAATATTTTAAGAGTGAGCAAAATCGTTACAGCTTGATGTTGGGGGAACCTGCAGGACTGAGGTCAGTAAAGGTCAACAGGTCCAGATGAGGAAAAACCAGAGGAACAGCTTATAAACTCACCAGCTGGTTTATATTTAGTTAGTATCCTGTGGGGGTCTAACAGTGCCCCCCTCATCTTTTAGTCCTAGTTACGCCCCTGCCTGACAAACCTGACCTGAAAGTTGGAGCCCTTGGAGGCGCGGTGGACAGCAGCGGTCCTCACGTTCTTCTCCAAGTTCTGACCGCTGTGGTCCGAGTCGGACTCGGCTGGGTGCTCGGAGGCGTCACCTTCTCCCCGCTCGCAGCCGTCGTCGCTGAGGCTCTTCAGACAAACCCCGCGGTCAGACACCGGGGAGTAGATGGACACGGGTCTCGGGAAGCGCACGCCGAGCTGCGGCTTCTCCTCCGGRCTCCAGGAGGCCCTGGGGGAGGCGGCAGGACGCTCGTCGCAGCAGAGCAGCGTCTTGGGTCCCAGCGAGCACTGGACGATTTTATCCACCCTGGCGTTGACCTGCACTCCGCACTCCTTGGTGTTCGCCTTGCTGAGCGGAGGAGGCGCAAGAGGGGGCAGGCCGGGGTTCACCTGGGACAGGATGGTCTTGCAGAGCTCCAGGTAGTTGAGGCCCTGGGGGGTCATGAAGCGGCCCTCTCTCTTCCCCCAGCTGCCGCTCTGGGCCGGGGAAGMGCTCGCAGGGTTCCCGTAGATGCTGTAGGGAGGAAACGTGGGCAGGAACCCCTCCATCCTGCAAAGAAACCCGCGCGCTTCCTTCCTCGTGACGTTTATCCACGCGACACTAATTGGCTCATTGACACCTGGCTGTGCGGCTCTAATTGATCTCACTGATGGAAAAGAAYAAACATGATGATGTCACTATACAACAAACAAGGATTTTTACGTTTTTACTGCATTTTCAGACCATTTGATGTAACAGAAATAATAAACGTAATGTTAAAATGTGGTTTATTTGTGCTGTTCAGGGTTAAATGTGATTTTTATGCTTGTAATTTTTTAACAATATAAAAGAATGTTTTATTTACAAATATACATTGAGACCCATAGATTTAATTTCATATCAATGTTCTTTCAGATCTGCTTCAGTACATGCTCTAATTTTATTTATATGCTACTTTTACTATTGTTTGTTCAGCTTTTAGCTACTTTAGATACCATTCTGTAACTTTTACCTAGCCTTTTGCTACTTTTAGCTATAATCTGCRAACTTTAAATAGACTATTTTGGATTTTAGCTACTGTTCTAGTTTCTAGTTATACCATTTTTTCTGCTTTTAGCTATTATTTTGCGGATTTTATCTACCCGCTCTACGTTTAGCTACCCTTTTGCATTTTTTTTTTATTTTGGCTAACCCCTTGTTTAGTTCTAACTTAAAATGTAGCTACTTTTACCTAACCTTTATCTACTTTTGTAGTTTACCTCATGTCTTATTGTTTTAGCTAGTCTCTTTTAGCTATTAATCACTGCATTGCATCTTTTAGCTTTTGCAACTCTGAGCCTCTTCAGCAAATTTTAGCAGTCATTCAGCACTCAAAATTCACAGCAATTTGCCAAAATTGTTTTTTTTTTTTCTGATTCATTTAACTTTGCATTGGTACGATCTGTTAACATGAAATATTATATATTTATTTAGTTGTTTTTTCTTTTGGCTGCTCTCTTGTACAGGGTTCACCACAGTGAGTGAACAGACTTTTGCTCCAGCTCCTACTTTAGGTCAGGAGAGAGTAAATCTAAGTGTTGTATTAGGGCGCCCCCTTTAGCTCATGTTGACTACAGCAGCAGAGACAAACAAAGCAAATGTGCACTGTGCACATCTTTTATTCGGCACATTTGTAACCATATTTGAAAGATGATATTTGGTCGTTTTTGGTAAAAATCAACACAAGCAGCAAGCACATTTCTATGAGCAGAGGGGTGAAGGATATAAAAAAGGAAATAATCTGTAAAAGCAAAGGCTTCATGGGCAGTGGTGCAATACATTGATTTAAAAAGCAAATAACTGGTTTTAAAATATAAAAAATACTATTCAAAATCAACTACATGGAATAAATTTTGAATATCGCCTAAATGAGATCACGTTTATTGTGGCAGTGCCATTTATTAAAATCATGGTTTGTGGTGCGTTTAAGTTCAGTCAAAATACTGACAATCATTCTGAAAAATAATTGGCACAATATAAAATTAAATTATGATATTGATTTATCAGCTGTAGGTAAAAATGCAACGAAACTTAAGCTTTTTTTTACATAATTAAACGTAAAGTTTCACATTTTAAATTTTAGCTTAACTTAAAATAACTTCAGTTTACGAGCATAACTTGAACGCGTCATCAGACATTCCTGGACGCGCCTATAGGTGTCGCTGTTCACCCACCGATGGCTTTTACCTACGGGCACTGAATCTATGCATGTTGGCGCCATTTTGGAGATAGGAGGGGGAAGAGAGCTGCAGAGGAGGACACGATTTCATTGTTAACAGGTACGAAATGCACTTTAAATTAAATCCTTTCGTTTTAAACAAATGGATTTTTTTAGTCGCGCTTGCGAAAAAATAGGTATAGGCTATGACGATCCCACGAGGCGACCCTATTTAAAGCACCAAATAATATTCTTTTAAAAAGGCGGAGCGCAGCGCGCCTTGCTCGCCTGTGTTCTCGGCAGCTTTTCCCGATTCACCGCGCTGCTTGACCTGGTTCTGCGGCGCAAAAATGGTTAGCCAGTATAAAACTAGCCTTTCGGCTTGGCCCAGTTTCTCTTGCGGAATGGAAAGACAAGTGACCTGACTCAGAGGTAGAACCGAGCTTGCGGTGGCTGTGATTAAATGGTTGTTCACCGGGGTGTTTTGTTCCATGCAACGTTACCATCTGTCCGCCCTCTGTCACTGAGATGCTAATGTTAGCATCGGCATGCTAACCATGCTAGCTCAGCTAGCCACGGTCAAACAAGCAGACTGCCTACCGTAGCTATTAACACGCCGAGGTGCAATATCAATAATCTCCACTCATAACATGTTGCCTGTCTGTTCATGAATCGTTTTTCACTAGAAATAACTGTATTGTGGACATATTTAAGCTTCTGCTGATAGTGTGCGAATAATGTTTTTGCTGTATTGTGCTTATGCTTTTTTTTTTCTCCTTTCTTAGCTGCACCTAATGTAGCGGAACTTATGTATTTAGCTTGTTTTCGGGTGTGTAACATTAACTTAACAAGATGTGAGAGTGATGTAATTTGAGGGCGTAATGGTTTACGTGAATTGAAGTGTAGTCTGAGTTTTGCGCAGATTTATGACAGATTATGATAGATTACTGATTTGAGTGACTGGGTTAAAGAAAACATTTCTCGGGCTGCTGCAGTGTCAGAGGTTTGGTCATCATTATTATAGATTTGGTTATCAGTATTATAGATTTGGTTATCAGTATTATAGATTTGGTTATCAGTATTATAGATTTGTTTGTGAAACACAGGGTGAAAACAATCCATTGGATAATATGTTGTTTTTTTCTTACAAAACACTGAATAAACCAGTTTAAATGCATTCAATCTTCATCAAGAATGAGGATTGTTTTCCTTTAATTATTTATATTGTAGTTTTTTTTTTTTATTGAGACATGTTTTGTTTTTGAATGAGTCCTTTGTTTGTCTCTTACAAATCTATTTCTAGCTACAGCTCTTTAGGAGGCTTAGCGCAATTATATTTTATTAGTGTTATCAAGCCACAGTTTTCAGTGATGATGTAATTGTTTTAGAKACAACTTTGAGTTGTTTTAAGTTTGATTTATGTTTGCTTCAAACATGTTTTGTGCTCATGCCCCACCTCTGCTTTGTGTTAATGTAAATTGTGCAAGTTGTGACAGTCCAGTTTACGGTCGCAGTGATTGGTCTGTTTTGGTTTGTTGTATATGAAGTTTTTCTACTCTTTACTGTTTTATTTTTTCATTGCAGGAATTGTTGTAATTATGTTTTGCACATGCATTGCATCTTGTAAGATTTATACATATGGTTCTGTATTGCTGTCTGCATCTTTTAAGGTTTATCCCAGTCTTGTCACATGCTCATAACTAATTTCAGCCTTCACTGTTTAGGTTGTATCCCCTAAAAAAATCATTTAATTTGAGAATAACTAAATATTTTGGCAGTATTTATCTATTTAATCATTTTCTTTGTCTTTGCATGTTTGTGTCCTTCCAGAAGTCATTGAGTTCATCCATGTCTAAGCATGTGTCTGTCAAGGTTTTGATCAGGAAATGAGATAGTTTTTAAAGTTGGGCTTGGAGCTGTGTTTGAAGCACCAGAACTGGCAGAGCAGGAGCAGCCAATAGAAGCCCCTCCATGGGGAGGTAAATGTGTTTAACTGCGATAAGCCAGTGATGAGCCGAAGGTAGCCCACATCAAGATGTTGATTGTTGGGTAAAGCTAACCCCTTTTGTGATTATTTACTGCTGCGTTTGTGAAATGCTCCCTGTTGGTTAGTACCCACACACAGACGCATCAGGCTGAGGAATAATCTGCTCTGATTGGCTGCCAGCTCTCTGCGTGTCAGTGTGGTACAATGACGGAGGGATGGACTCAAATTTGGCAGCAGCTGTGTGGTGGAAAAGAAGGTCAGAATCAAGTAATTTGGCAGCCTGCCTCTCTCTCTGTATGTGTGTATGTTTATACGCAGAGATTTGTCAGGTTGTGATTCATACATTTTTAATGCAACTTCTAGATCCTGCAGACTCAGGCAGCTTGAAAAACAGTTTCTGTTTCATAAATAAAGAAATCCCACAGAAAGTCCAAACTTATAGGCTGCAATTAGGAAAGAAACCGTTCTGCTAAATTGAAAGACCAAGGCAGGGCTGAACAATTGTTTGTTGTTTTAATGATATGACGGGAGAAAAATCAATTTTCTGAGGTCAAAGGCTGCTTTTGCATCCTCAGGTTGAGGAACAGTTGTCAGGATCAGCAGAAACTGGAAACTTATTTTTTAAAAAGTCAGTTTTGTTGAATTTTGTGAACATTAAGATGGAAGATGTGTGTCGAACATTAACTCCAAGTCTTATATTGTCTGAGGAGTGGATTTGTGAGTTAATAGTTTACAGACTGTACACAGCAGTGCCTTGTCAGTGTAATAGTGAGAAACTCTGTCTGTCATGCAGAAGACCAGAGTCCGATCCTTGTCAGGGAGAATCAATTCAGTTTTCTATTTAATCTAACCACATACACACAGACACAAATTACTCTTAATAAAGCTCCCTGTTTGTTGTCCCTACCAGTAATGGAGGATTTCTGCCCTTGGCTTTACCTTTAAGCTCAATGCCTCATTAGTTGTCAGCTTACCTGGAAAGTAGACCGACATTATGCGTATAAAACTAAAGCATCAATGCAGAGTGCAAGGACACATTGGGGCAGAAAGCATACACCTCTTTTTTAAAGGGGACCTATTATGCTAAATTCACTTTTTAAGGGTTTTTTTAACTCAACTTTGGGTATGTACTTCTTATAAAAACAGTCCTAGGACCAAAAAAAAATGCACCCAGTGGCACATTTACTGTAAGTAAATGTATTTTTAATGTATAATAACGACAAGTTTTATACTTCCGTCATTTTGTGATGTCACAAGCCGTACGACAACCCACTGGAACCTGTGTTCAGCCCCTCACCTAGCAACCCCCAGGTGAAGCTCCACCTCCTCAGTATTAAAAAGCCGTCACGGTTGTTGTTGTGTAATGTGCAGCTCATTTCACAACAGATCTCCAATAGGGCAATGGGTAGAGTGTTGGACCAGAGAGTGGGAGACCAGGGTTTGAGACCAGCACGGACACAATTTAATTATTTATTTTCATTCATTATGAACATGTTTTCTCATGTACCTCTATTGTTTAGCTCATTAAAGCCTTGTTAAA